CAACGGGATGAGGTGATGATGAACCCTACTATGTCTAAGTCGAATGCTTGGACCAAGATCGCGACCTATATGGCCGAAACCCAGATAAAAATTTCCCAAGAGGAAAAGATGCAAGAAGAGTTGGCTAAAAATGACAATGAAAAAGCAAAGTCAGACACATGGGCTTTAATCACGACCTATTTAACCGATAAGAAAGAAAAGACGGTCCAGGAGGCTAAGTTAAACCTCAAATTGGATAGTGAAGCCAACATGGTGAGAGTGGTAGACAATATGCTCGACTAGAGGCTTGATTGCATCTATGATGATGAACCTTTGGGATTTGAGAAAGACCCTTCAATTTTGACTGAAAAAATCCAGGTACAAGATTCCCGGAAGAAATTGACATAGGAGATGGATTGATCAAAGTCCCTACTTACATTAGTGCCAAAATAGACCCAAACTTAAAATACTAGGTAGTCCAACTGCTAAAATATTACAAAGATTACTTTGCATGGGACTATGATGAGATACCAAGCCTTAGTCGAGAACCGGTGGAATTGAATTTGCCCATTTAGTTGGGAAAGAAGCTTAAGAAGAAATTACCAAGAAGGTTCGCTCTAGTAGGGATGTCGAAGATAAAAGAAGAATTAAGAGGCTGCTGAAAAGAAAGTTCATTAGGACAACAAGGTATGTTGAATGGCTTACTAATAGATTACCATTAATTAAAAATAATGGGACTCTAAGGGTTTTCATAGATTTCAGAGATTTAAGTAGAGCATGTTTGAGCATGTTTAGAGACTTGAGTAGTTCATTAGGACAAGAATATTTGAGCTTGTTAGATGGCTACTATGGATACAATAATATCTTCATTGCTGAAGATGATGTGCCCAAAATAGCATTCTGGTGCCCAGGCCTCTTGGGGACATGTGAATTGGTCGTAATGCCTGTTAGATTGAAAATATGTTGGTGCAACTTATAAGAGGACAATGAATCTTATATTTCATGAATTTATATAGGCTTTAATGTAGGTTTATGTAGTCGACATTTTCGCCAAGTCCTCATCCATAGATGGTCACATTGACCACCTTCAACAATCTTTCGAAAGGATGAGGAAATATGGTCTGAAGATGAATCCTCTGAAATGTGCCTTTTTTTAAGTGCATGAGACTTCCTTGGATTTGTGGTCCATAAGAAAGGGATTAAAATAAATCAGAATAAGATTAAGGCAATATTGGATATGAGGCCCGTCTCGACCAAAAAGAAGCTACAGTCATTGCTAGGGTAGACCAACTTTCTAAGAATATTTATTTCTAACCTAACTGGAAAAACTCAAGCGTTCTCGTTGCTACTTTGACTAAATGGCGAAGAAAAATTCAGATGGGAATTAGAGCATCAGAAGGAATTCGATGAGATAAAAGTTTACTTGACACAGCCTTTGATCTTTATGCCTCCTGCAAAAGGGAAGCCAGTGAAGTTGTACATATCTATGTCAGAATTGACAATGGGTAGTATGATGGCTCAAGAGGACGAGAATGGCGTAAAAAGAGCCATTTACTTTTTAAGTAGAGTCCTAAACGATGCAAAAACTAGATATAGTGAGATAGAAAAACTATGTATGTGCTTGTATTTCTCTTTTACAAAGTTAAAACATTATATAAAGCCAGTTGATGTTTATATTTGTGCTCATATTGACATTATCAAGCATATGCTCTCAAAACCCATTTTACATAGCCGGATTGAGAAATGAGCCTTAGCCTTAACTAGGTATTCCATAACATATGCGCCTTTGAAGGCCATAAAAGGGAAAATTGTGGCTGACTTTATAGTCGATTACGTAGTTTTCAAAATGACACGTAACTACATGGGTCTGGACCCTTGGGATTTGTACTTCGACGATTCAAGTCATAAAGAAGGAACCGAAATCGAAGTCTTGATAGTTTCACCCAAAGGAATCCCAAGCATGTTCAAGTTTAGAATCAAGGATCATTGTTCTAACAATGAGGCAAAATATGAAGTACTATTAGCTGGCCTGGAGATTCTACTCGACTTGGGGGGGGGGGGAGAGTTGTAATCAGAGGGGATTCAAAATTGTTGTTGAAATAGTTAACCAAGGAGTACAAGTGTATCAAGGAGAACTTAATATCATATTTCACCTCATCTCGATCTTTATTAGAAAAGTTTGACTCAGTCAAAGTTAAATACATACCTCGTTTGAAAAACCAATAAGCAAATGACATGACTCAAATTTATTTTGGGTACAAAGTTCCCAAAGAGAAACTAGAGGAACTAATTAAGGTCAGGGAACATTCTAATTAAGGAATTCAAAGGTTGTGAGCATTCTAATTCAGGATTCTAAAGGTTGTGAGCATTCTAATTAATCACTTCATCTTTTTCAAGCCCTCGTGCTCGATGGATTGTGTACTGGTATAATTTTATTTGGCCCTGAGAACGAAGAGACATCCTAAAATGGACTATGAGGCCACCCGAAATAGAGCCATGAGGCCGCCCAACACGAGATGATAGCTCACCCAAAACGAAGTACTATGTCGCCCAAAGTGGGGTCATAAGGTTGTCCAACTGGGCTAAGGTTGCACAGATTAACCCATTTAATCACCATATGTGGCTAATGTGATTTTTTTTATCATAGACCTATTTTAGGAGTTAGTCCGAGTAAGTCTGTTATTACTCCTATGTTCTGGATAATGGAATACTGAAAAACACCTTTTGGCTTTCTAGCCTATGCCCAAGAGGTAACCTATAACTTTTTTTTATACTTTTAACAAGTACAACTTCATTCAATTCAATTAGCTTGAGCTAGTACGGGTAAATGTTATCACTATATTAATTAACCTTTTGTTTAGAATTATTTGATGAAAAATTGACAAGTTACCTTGTTTCATACTTGTAGAGAAGAAAATTATTGTACTAACATTTTCAATATATTAAAAGGTAACATATTAGATCTTATGATGATTATTTATGAACCTTTTTTATATTTCATATGTCGTGTTAGTAGTATTTTAGAAGTGTTTTTATTTCTGTCAGAATTGTAAATAAAAATAAGGTTTAATGTATCATTTAGTCTCTTAACTTTATAAAAAGTTTCGCTTTGATCTTCTAACTAAAAAATGTTACATAATGGTCTCTTAACTTCACTTCCGTTAAACTATTGGGTCATTTCTGTTAGTTTTTATTGAAAAAACGTTAAAAGATGTCATGTTAGACTATTTACATCTGATGTGAAATTTATTTATTTTAATATTGTTGTAAGTGGGGAGCTGACTCTCTTCCCTCTTCTTCACGTGTTACTCTACCCATTTCTATCTTTCTTTTTCCACTTACCTGCTATAACTACTAAACACCATTGATCCACTAAAAAACTCTATCCAACACATTACCACCACCATTGCTTCTGCTTTTTACAAAAATCATCTTCATAAAAACTGACCCACTAAAAATTTTCTTTGTCATTTTAAAGATACACTAAAACCAATAAAAACTCAAATTATATGCATCCAATATAAAAGTAACAACACGTCCTATATATCATTTCATAATAGCATATAGAAAATTTTTGTGAAAGCTAGTTGCAACATCTTATCTATTTTTCAGCTCATATAAATGCTCAAAAAAAGCTTCTTAGCAAGTATAACTAGAAAAAGCAAAATTAACTACAAGAAATAAAAATTTGTGAAAGTGAAAACCTTAAAGATACGAAATCCCCAAATTACACTGTGCAAAAGGATTTCCAAGTTAAGTAACCATGAGATACAAATCAACCACCATACACCCTCACGTGTAAAGCACCGCGATTTTACCTCTGGCCATCTTCACCATGGAAACCACGCTTAGACACATCTAAACATCAGACCCGCCATGGAGGGTGGGAGTGTAGTGAGTCGGAGAAGAGGTTCGTGACAGATCTGCGATATGCTAGGATAGATCCGCCATTTTGTTGAGAAATGTTTTGAGAGATTCACAAAATTAATTTGTTTGTAGTTAGGAGTGGAATATTTAGAGCATAACTGTAAACATCAACAACACTAATTTGAAATTTGATTAATTAGCGAGTGAAATTTCGAGAAAAATCACTTCACAGTACACACTTACACACTTCTGCATAATGAAAGAATAGGAAGCCACAAACTAATGGAGGATGGATGAATAGTGAAAAACAAAGAAGGAAGATGAACAAAATCTAAGAGTTAATGGTACTATTTGCATACCTGACATGTCACCTCAGTCATAGTTAACATTTTTTTATCCAAATTAATGAAAGGGATCAAATAATTTAACGGAAGAGAAGTTAAAAGATTATTACGTAACATTTTTTAGTTAGGGAATCAAAACAAAACTTCGCTTAAAATTAAGAGACCTAAGGATTAATTATACCTAAAAATAACTAATTTCATACTCATAAAAAAAATTAGTTAAGTATAATTAATTTTTTTTATTTCCTATACAATAAAAATAAAATTTGATATAATAATAACTGAATTTTAAGATATTTTTTTTTATAATTATGACTAGAGAGTACGTTATATAAAACCAGTGTCTTATTTGTTTTCTTTCTCTTTTTTAATATATCTTTTTTTTTAATCTGTTCGATGTGAGTGTGGGATCCAACGCACAACTACTTCCCACTACATATTTTGGTCAAAAGCGGCAAGTTCATTGACAATACATTTCTATTATTATTATTGTTATTATAATAATAATTATTATTATTATAAACATTGATGGGACATAATAAAGCATGGTTGGAGTAAGATCACAATCTCTAATCACCATATATATATAAGTGTTGCACAACAACATATTCCACACCACCTTCTCCTCAAAACACAGTTTGCAGCTATAGCATTACTATTGATAGTGAAAAATGAAAAACATATGTTAATACATAGACAGATCTTTAATCACTATATAAATAGGTTGCTGCTCAACAACATTTTCCACACTACCATCTTCTCTTCAAAACAAAACTTGCAGCTATAGCATAATTTTAATATATAGTGAAAATGAAGAGCATAAGTAGTATCTGGCAGGGGATTAAACCAGAAGTGCTGATGGTGTTTGTACAACTAGCATCGGCGGCGATGAATATAATATGCAAACTTGCAATAAATGATGGAATGAGCATGAGAGTTGCCACGGCTTATCGCCTCATCTGTGCAGCGGCTTTCAATATCCTAATTGCTCTTTTCTTTGATAGGTTCATTTATCATTTACCTTCAACTTTCTTTTACACTTCATTATTAGCATACACTTAGTTAATATACCAAGTTGCAATAAATGATGGAATGAGCGTGAGAAGTGCCACTGGTTTTCGTCTTATTTGTGCATTCACTATCACAATTGCTCTTTTCTTTGATAGGCTCACCGTGCACTTTTCTCTTAAATCAAGTAAATACTAATTACATTTAGCGTAGTGTGCTTTATAAGACTCTTTCATAACCAAACTTTAATAATTCTATCATTTTTGCAGGAAGAAGAGAGCAAAGATTACTTGGAGTGTGCTTTATAAGACATTTCTATGTGGATTGTTTGGGTAAATAATATATTATACTAGTATATTTTATTCAATCATTTAACTCAAAAAAAAAATAATAATAAAACAGTAATATTTTGGTATGTAATATTTCAGGGGAAGTTTGTATCTAAACCTTTATCTTGAGGCTCTTGCTTTAACGTCGGCAACATTTATGTTGGTTGTTTTCAACCTAATTCCAACCATTACCTTCATCATGGCTGTATGCTTGGGGTATGTATATAAATATAACATATTTCAGCCATAATGGCTCCAACATTTTTTTATTTTGAAATAATTTCAATTTATTTACTTTTGGTTTTCTATAGAATGGATAAATTTAATTTGAGGTTAATGGAAGGAAAGGCAAAGGTGATAGGAGTAATAATGGGAATGAGTGGTGCAATGTTGATGATTTTTTTTAAAGGTGCGGAAATTCACATTTGGTCTTCTAATATTAACCTTTTGCATCCCCATCAAAATCCAAATGAACTAATGGCATCTCACCATGCTGAAATTCGTAAAAAAATATTGGGTGTTTCAATTGCACTGGCAAGCGGTTGCTCTTTTTCTATCTGGCTTATCATTCAGGTTAGCTTATTTATTTATTTATTTATTTTATTTATACGCAAAGCAGGTGCCGAATATATAAGCAATAAAAAAGAGCATCCAAACCAAGAAATAGAACAACGAGCAAAAGTCTATTTGATATAATCTGGCGCCTTAGGATATTCGGCCTAGTCAGCAACCTATTCTAAAACAACTGGCAAGAGAACACTACAAATTTAAAAAGGCTCTACTCTTCCAAATTCTAGCAACTCCCTGAATAACCCTCTCAGACTTGATCTCCCTCGTCAGTCCTTATTTCCAAATCCAAACATTCCCCGATTGAACTAACCACTCCAAAGATGTTACGAAATAAAGTCTCTAAAAGATCTTTCTTCCAAACCAAGAGAGCCAACTCAAATATCCTCCTTCCAAACACCGAGAAAACCTGCCACTTGAGATTTTTGCTCTAAAATAAGAAATATCCTCTCAAAAGAGACACACAAAGGGGTTGATACAACATATACGCCATGGAAAATATGGTCTTTTGACCATCCCCGACCCTCTTAATACAAGAAAGAGAAAACCAAACAAATTCTTAATCAGGAGAGACCCAAGGAGTGAAACCCCTATCCACCACCAAAACATCCTCCTAAGACCCCTTTCACTGCTCACCAATGGAGGGTCGAACCTCAGTGAACTATACATTGCATAGCAAAAATGTCTCTCCGCAATAAAGGCACGTTAAAAAGAACCTTCCTCCTTGACTTAACAAAGTGAGATTTACAAGTCTAATATTCTGAACTCCTAAGCCACATGCCCTTTTAGCCTTACATACATCCACTCACTTAACACAAGCAACCTTAGCTCCCTCTTGGAGCTTTCACATGAGAAAATGCTTTTGGATACCAACCAGCTTCAGCCAGACCAAAACTGCCATCTTAATAATCATCTATTGTTATACATATAAGTAGTCATTTAGGCATCATTGGTTTTTATGTGAATGGTTACGGTTTGGATACATGCTGAGTTTACCAGAATCACTGAGAACTAGTGTGAATTTACAAAAGCTACACTTTGGAACTCAAAAAAAAAAAACTCATGTCATGATTTTCATAAACTTACATTGCACATAGTTGTGTTGCATCATTGTCATCCTTTTCTTTTCTTTTACATTGCACAGGCTAAGTTGCATGCAGAATACCCTTGTCATCACTCAAGTGCAGCTTTAATGGTTTCAATGGGTGCCATTCAAGCAACTCTTATTTCTCTTTGTATTGAAAGAGATTGGAACCAATGGAAGCTTGGAAACAAACTCAGAATTCTTACTGTTGTTTATCCGGTATGCTCCTGGTAATTTCCTAATATTTGAAAATTACACATCACAAACTAATTCTCTAAAAATAATCTCTTGAAGTACAAAGTTCCACTTGAACCAAAACAAAAAAAAGGACAATTTTATTTATTTATATAATTTTAAAGTCATTTTCAATACAAATTGTTGCTATAATAAATAATTGGTCAAAGGAAGTTTTTAAATGTGAGTGAATGTTAATGCAGGGAATTGTGGTCTCTGGATTAGCAGTTATCATTATTGCATGGTGCATAAGGACGAGAGGGCCTCTATTTGCGTCTATTTTCAATCCTTTACAACTCTTACTTGTAGTTATAGCTGCTTATTTGATGTTAGATGAGAAACTATATTTGGGAAGGTATGTTCAAAATCTTTGTTAACCTAAACATGCAACTGGTTCATGTTTTTTATTCTGTTTTTCAGCCTCAATATATTGACAATTAATTTTTGGAAATTAATTTCATAGCATGCTTGGAGCAATTGTGATTGTGTGCGGTCTCTATACGGTACTTTGGGGTCAGGGAAGAGAAATAAAAAATAAAATGAAGATATTAGAAATCACAAGAATGTCTGAAAATAAAGAGGTTGTTGTTATTTCCATGCCTCTTCCACTTGATAGAGTCATCCAAAACTCCCAGAGATCAGCCATTACTATAGAGAATGTTGTTAATGATCAATGATTTGAAGTTTGGGAAAAGATGAAAATTCCTTCATAGAAATGATATTGGTGGCAGTAGTTATTTTGGTTTTAAATTGCGGTTTGGTTGTAAGTGTTACGATCGCAAACACTGGGTGCTACGATGCGTATTGCATCAACATTAATTTTGATTGAAAGGAGTTCTAAATACATGTTTTGAAAACTAATTAATGTTAAGATTTTTAATTACATCAGAAGTAAATTAATTGTTGGAGTTTTGAAATTATGAGTTTTGATAAAATATTTAAAAAAATAATAACAAAATTGTCTGTTGAGGTAATGCAACGAAACCTGTGAATTTAAAATCACAAAGCAATTGCGATGTGATATGGTTTTAGAAACTATCAAAGCAATTGCGGCCTATAATTTAAAACCATAATAATTAAAAAAAAATATTTATCACAAATAGGACGTTCGTTGCATTGTAGTTTTACATATATGACCCCTTTCAAGCAATTCAAGGAATTTTAGTGTATATAAAACATCTATGCATTTTTTTAAAATAAAAAATTATATATTTCAAAAATAACTTTGGACAAAGCGATCCTTTAGATTCAGTCCGAAAAAATAACAAAAGCAAAACAAATTACATCAATAATCTTGTTATATGAGCCCTATACTTTAAGTTTTGCCAATCTCTAAATACTATGCAATCTATAATGTTTTTAGTAAGGTTCGAATGGTTAAAAGCTATTAAATTCTGGTATTTTTGGAAATTTAACAGGTGTAATCGATTACCACTAATCAAATTTCAGCAAATATTTGAATTTATGAGCATGACCACTTTAGTTGGTTTTTGTTTTTTTTTTATTATTATTCTCTCATACATTTTGTAATTTCCAATGTCAATTTTAGTACATCCAAATAGACTCTCTACCCTAATTCTCTTTCTCTCTCAATTTCATCTTCTTCTCCAATTTCTTTTCCACCATTGTTACTACCTTCAATCTCTGTTTTTTGTATGTTGTTCTAACATTTGGCATCAAGAGCTCTGGTTATTGATCATAATCCGCTGCAACAATGGCTACCGTTTCTAATGATCGAATTCTCACCAATCTCCCAATTCTTGATTCGAGGAACTACGACAAATGGGCGAAACAAATGAAGGTTATGTTTGGTTATCAAGAGGTTCTTGAGATCGTCATCAATGGAGTTACACTGTTAGGGGTAGATGCTACCGAATCTATTAGGGCTACACACAAGGAAGAAAAGAAGAAGGATTATAAAGCTCTATTCTTGATTCACTCTTGTGTTGATAACGACAATTTCGAGAAGGTTGGCGATTGTGAATCCGCGATGCAAGCATGGGAAATCTTGGAGAAAGCATATGCCGGTGCCGTCAAAGCGAAGGTGGTAAGGATACAAACTTACAAATGTCAATTTGAGTTAACGCAAATGGAGGACAAAGAAACGATCAACGATTAAATTACGCGCATTACCCGGTTAGTTAATAAAATCAATTCATATGGCGAAACGATTCTTGAGCAGAATATTGTATCGAAAGTGTTGTGTTCGTTAACATCACGGTTCGATAATATAGTTATGTCTATTGAAGAGTCAAAGGATCTAACTACTTTGAGCAAGGATGCGTTGCAGTGTTCGTTAGAGACGCATGAACAAAGGATGGATGAGAGAGGTGCCGACAAAGGCAAAGCGGAGATCGCTTTGCAAGCGCGTTTTAATGAGAAGAATAAGAGGTCGAAAAGAAAATTTGCAGCTAGAGGTAAGCCAAATTTTCAAAAGTTTGGTGCAAACGAGTCTCGAAATTCGAAGAATTCGACGGGTGAAAAGGGTGAGAGCAGCTCCAAGGAGAGTGATCATAGCAATGGTATCAAAAGGGATTTGAGTAAAGTGCAATGTTTCAAGTGTAAAAAGCTTGGGCACTTTCGATCTATGTGTCGTGTTAGATTGAATAAAACTCGAAATGATGAAGTCAAGGTTGCTAGAGAAGAGGGAGATGATGAAGACACCCTTCTAGTGATGATCACAGAGGAGAATTATGGCACTGTTGATGTTCAGAACAGCAGCTACTGTGGTGATAGTTTGCGGGACAGCAGCTGTACTATTTTCGAAAGTGGTGAGAACATGTATTCGGATTGAAATGCATTAGTTACTGTGCGTGATGGAGTTCAAAGTAAAGATGAATGGTACTTGGATTCCGGTTGTTCAACACATATGACGGGTCGGAAGGATTGGTTTGTGGAAATCAATCAAGCGACAAAGAGTAAAGTCAAGTTTGCCGACGACACCACTTTAAGCGCCGAAGGGGTAGGAGATGTTTTGATCAGAAGGAAGAATGGTGGACATTCAAGTATCAAAGATGTCTTGTACATACCGGGAATTAAGTGCAATCTTTTGAGCATTGGCCAATTACTTGAAAGAGGGTACTTAATTCGGTTGGAGAACAAGATGTTACGCGTTTTAGATTCAAGTGGTGTGTTGATTCTAAAAGCGCCGATGGCTGCCAATAGAACTTTTAAGGTTGAGTTAAAGGTTATAGAGCATCGTTGTTTAGCTACTGCGACAAGTATATATGAGTGGTTATGGCAATACCGTCTTGGTCACCTAAATTTTAGGGATCTCAAAATGTTGCAACAAAGTGAAATGGTAACGGGGCTGCCACATATTAGTGTTCCGACATAATTGTGTGTGGAATGTGTGAAGAGTAAGCAACACAAGAATGTGTTTAGCAAGGATGTTGGTCGAAGAACCAAAGGCTTACTTGAGGTGGTGTATTCTGATGTTTGTGGATCGATGCAAGTAGAGACTTATGGCGGTAATCAATATTTTGTTACATTTATTGACGACTTTAGTAGGAAGCTTTGGACATATCTTATCAAGAGGAAGGATGAGGTATTTGGAGTGTTCAAGAGTTTCAAATCCATGGTGGAGCGTCAAAGCGGTCGGAAACTCAAAATTCTCAAAACGGATGGTGGAGGTGAATATACCTCTAGTGAGTTTGGGAAGTTTTGTGATTTTGAGGGTATTGTGTGTGAGGTGGTGCCTCCATATACGCCTCAACAAAACGGAGCTGCTGAGAGGAAAAATCGTACAATAATGAACATGGTGCGTAGTATGCTTTGTGGAAAGAAGTTACCTAAGGAATTGTGGGGTGAGGTCGTGTCTACAACCGCCTAGTTGTTGAATAGGTGTCCTACTAAGAATCTGGAGAAAATCACACTAGAAGAGGTTTGGAGTGGTTCCAAACCGAGTGTGAATCATTTGCGCGTTTTTGGATCGATTGCATATCGTCATGTACCGAATCAACTTAGAAAGAAGTTGGATGATAAAGGTAAGAAGTTGATATTTGTTGAATATCACTCTACTGGAGGTTACAAGTTATTTGATGAGAAGAATCGGAAAATCGTGATAACTCGGGATGTATTTTTTGAAGAAATAAAAACTTCTGAAACAACAGGTGTAATCGATTACCTGATTGCTGCTAATCGTTTACACCCTGCAGAACAGCAGCAGTTCTTCGAGTTGTCTGATCTAGAGGGTTCCGATGCCGCTGTACCTGCACCTATAGTAGCGGAAAATGTTGTAGTGAATAATGGTAGACCAGTGAGGCAAAGAGCCTTGCCTCATAGAATCCGAGACTACGAGAGGTTCAAAGATAACGAAGTGAATAATGATTGTTAGTTCCATGACTCTATGATTGTCCATGGTTCTAAGATTGGCTAAATTTTGGTAAAACATGGTTCTGCACTAATCTGAAGAAGGATGTCATAACATTGTTGTCTGGCATAGCAGGAGCTGATGACAATACTGCTATCATGTGTTTTAATCAGGATGTCATTACCCATGTCATGACATCGATGTCTAGTACAGCAGAACCTGATGACAGTACTATTGTCATGTGTTTTAATCAGGATGTCATCACCAATGTCATGACATCGCTGTCTGGTACAGCAGGAGCTGCTATCACTTAACAGAAGTGTTTTGGTTTGATGAGATCCTGTTGGATATATCTCATCAAGTGTGTGCAGGTCAAAGATATTCACAACATGAAGATGCAGATTTAATTGGTATTCATAAAAGGGATCTTTGAGACTTTTTAGGAAACTATAATATGCTTGTGTCTACTGTTATGAAGAAGATTTTGCAGGAATGTTCAGCAGGGTAAGTTTGGTCAGCTAAGAACAAAGTATGTTGGATGTCATGTTGGATGTTATGACATCAAGCATATGACATTTGCGCGCGTGTTTTAGTTTTCTGGTATTTTACCCGATATATCTCAGGCTAGAATTCAGGAAACCTGTTATGGCTCTTTAGTTATCTCAGGCGAGATTCTAGTCAGGGCTGGGCATAACATGGAGCAGCTGTGACCTAATTTGATAGCACCTTGAATTATGGAAAGTGGTTTAACTTAGTTAAACCTAATGTTTGTTACTATTGATCAGCCCAAGCCCAATCTGCATTGATATTTAAGGAGGAGCAGAAGCAAGGGAAATCAAGCATTCACAACAAGAAACACTTGAGTGTAGAATTAAGGTTTAGGGTTTGAGAGTCCATTGTGTGTGACCTTGTAAGTCACCCTTTGTATCTTTGGATGCGTCGTGGTAGACATGTTTAGGCTGTTATTAGTACAGTGCTAATTGTTCACTCAAAGCTTTTAAGCAAGAGTGTATTTGTGAGTGAAGAGTTTTGTTCTTCACGTGTATATGTGTGTCTTAGGAATACTTGTACACCAAGCAATTATCTGTTGTATGATTGCATTGATCTAGAGTTCTTAAGTTGTCTGTTCACTCAAAGCTTGCAAGCAAGAGTGTACTGTCCTTGATTGAAGTTGTTATGCAAAATCAAGTTTTGTGACTTTGAAGTGTGTCTTCTAAAGTCTTCTTATGTATTGAATTGTATATCACTGTTGTGATTGAGGGGGACTGAACGGGGTCTCTTGTCTAGTGGATTCTAGGCAGAAATTGCATTGGGTAGAGATTAAGTGAGGAGTTGTGTTGCGGTGAAATTTGGATGTCAAGCTAT